CATACTTCATTGGCCCGTTCATCCAGTGAGCATTTTAGCCCTACCCAAACCTGCCCACATCTCTGACTACTTGATATCTTTCTCCACATTATGATTTTCTTCACATTTCCATAAGAGGTAAAGTAATCAAGTAATTTGGAGCCATGATGAGAAATAGCTAAAACGTGAGTCTACATGTACTCTCTTAGTTAGTCTATCTCTATTGAGGAAGACTTGGAGAGCTCAGCTTCCAGTTCACATTTCTGCAAGGATGGTGGTGTTATCAGTTGTCCCTCATAGGATGAGGTTAGGAATACAGGTAGTCCTCAACGTACGACCACAATTGAGCCCAAAATTTTTGTTGTTAAGCGAGACATTTGTTAGGAACATTTTCCTCCATTTTATGACCTTTCTTGCCTAAGAAGGTGTTAAGTGAATCACTGCAGCTGTTAAATTAGTAACACGGCTGTTACATGAATCTGACTTTCGCATTGACTTTGCTTGTAAAAAGATCGCAAAAGGAGATCACAAGATCCCAGGGGCAGGGCAACCATCATAAATAAGAGTCAGTTGCCAAGCATCTGAATTTTGATGAAATGTAAAGTGTAAAAAAACAGTCGTCAGTCACTTTTTTCAAGCGCTGTTGTAACTTCAAAGAGTCACTAAATGAACTGTTGTAAGTCAAGGACTACCTGTACTGATTTCACACTCATTCTGCAGCAAAAGCTTTTTGTTTTTGCAGAGGGAATGCTCTGGGAAGGAAGTTCTTCAGTGACCAAGCAGCTGCCGAATCAGGCTGCTCCGTCCTGCATGCAGCTGTTTTCTATGAGCAGGAGGCATAGGAACGTTTGGCTCTTTCTCTATGGAAAACTTGAAGAATGACGAGGCGGAGAAGGGAAAACTGATGCATCCTGAAAGTCCACAGGATCTCATTCTTCGCCTCATTTCAAGACCAGATATCATCAGTGGCAAGGATAGAACCAAAGCTATCACTCTTATTTGGAAAGAAACTAATCTCTTCTAACAGACTCCCCAGTTTCAAACCGTTTGCTGAAAAGATTACAGCCAAAGTAAAATTAGCACCGTCTCCCCGCCCCCTGTCATTTGCAAATCAGACAGCAACACCTCCTGGCAGATAAAGATCTATACAGCCAGACCAAAGTCTCCTTGCCTCAGTCCAGAGGGCTGGGCACAGAGGCCAAAGCACATGTCATTACGCTCAAGGTCTCATATTACCAGGACAGCCACAGTCAGAGTCCAGAGATTGGGAACCAAGGTCATATGCTAAGCTGACTCTTGTCATTTACCATGTGCTAATCAGACAATCCTAAAGAAATTGTGTCTACTTGGTCACACAAAGGATCTGAAATGATTGAGCAGTAACAGGATTATCAGGAAAGAAAAGTTAATGACTGGATTAACTGAATGGTTAAAATACAGTAGTAATTCGGAATTTAGTAAAGTTAACTTGCTAGATTTCTTTCCTTTGCAACTGCTGGTTCAGAGGTAAGCTTACATCCCTATCAAAATCCTGATAGGTTAAGCAGCATAGTACTTAACATTAGCAAATCAGCCCTAGAATCAAATTTGTATTTAGCAGCATTTACATACCGTAAATGCCGGCGTACAAGGCGACCCAGCGTATAAGATGACCCCCGTCTTTATAGCCAGGCCACATTCCTAGAACGTCGTCTTATACGCCGGAAACTAGCAGTATTTCCGGCGTATAAGACGACTCGGCGTATAAGATGACCCTCATCTTTGGCGCCGATTTCAGCGCTCACGGAAGTCTTATACGCCGGCATTTACGGTATATTGTACACAAAGTTTTCAATTGGCAGGTGCAATAAAAAGATTCTGCAGAAACAATCTTCAGATTTTGCTGTGACTTTAGTTGTGCTTTCAATTATGCAAACACGATCAAACTTTGACCAACAAAAATTACCAAAAGGTTTACTCCAGTTTCTAAATTTTAACAGGTATAGTCTTTTATTTTCAGCCTTAAAAAAGAAGCTGAGAGAAAAACAAGTACAGGACAATGACTGCACTATGAACTAGAATTGTTCTATGGCACAGCCAAGGCCATTCATGTATGCATTTTCTATTTATACATACATACATACCTACATTTTCCAACAAATAATTCTGGATTTTAATTCTATATAGCTCAATCAGATAGTGAAGAAAATCCTACCACACATTCATAACCGCGCCAAGCTTGAAGTCACCTCTATAACCTCTTCTACCACTGCTTGTGGAAAGCTTGCTGCTTGTGGCTTACCTCCCAATACTTGGTCCGGCTAATTCCTTCAGAGTAGGCGCGGGCAAAAGTGCTCTCGCTGTTGAGAGCTGTGACAGCAGCACTGAGTTGTGACATGGGATGAAGATTGGTGGGGAAGTTGTCAAGCATAGTCACTACATGGGAAGGCAGGGCCGCTCTCTTCGCCCACTCTCGAGACACCCAAGTCACCTAGGAAAAGAAAACCACAACGTTACACGTCTATACCTAGGGGGGAAAGTGCTATCCAACACCAATGCCTTTGGTCTTGGCTGTTCTTGTCATTACTATAGAGCAGTGTTTCCCAAACTTGACAATTTTAAGGCATGAGGACTTCAACTCCCAGAATTCCACAGCCAGCAACGCTGGCTGTGGAATTCTGGGAGTTGAAGTCCTCATGCCTTAAAATTGTCAAGTTTGGGAAACACTGCTATAGAGCTCTTAACTGTTTTCTCCAGCAGTTCTCTAGACACAAAAAAAGGTTGCACAATCACTTTGCAGGTCACTTAAGTGGGATGAACGTGACAGCCTCCCAGCAATCTTTGCCATGTCTTATTACCTGTTCTTGGGAAGGAATCTCTCCTGTCACCAGTAACCAAAAGAGACCTTCGGGAAGGGGCTCTGCACCTCCAGGGGCTTTGGGTAGCAGCTTCTGGCACTCGGGAATGCTGTAGCCACGGAAACGAATGCCCTAAAAACCAACCCAGGAAGCAGGATAAGAAACCACATTTCAGCTGAGAGGCTAAGAGCTAATTGCAAAAGTAATGGCGCCCATTCTGCCCTCCTTACCTCATCAGGATCCAAGACAGAGGTCTCGTATATTAGCCCTTTCATACTCCTCATGCCACCGTAGAGCTGGAGAAGAAAGAGTGTTACTTAAAAGAAGGAGAAATTTGCCTTCACCGTAATCCTCCAGTTAACCCAGTGTAGAAGGCAGAAAAATTCCTGCCTTGTTTGATTATGTCTGTCCCCACAAATATCTGACTGGACAGTATTTGACAGAAATTGGGTCTGAGTCTTCAGGCTTCCTAGTTTCTCCAAGTTCCCCTTCTCCATTCAGTCTGAGATGATTTAAGTCATATTTGCAGTTAGCTTATTGATATACTTTTGCATGTATTTCACGTTTTATATGTCATGGAAAAATTCGTGCAGAATTGTTCCCAGGTTTTAGTAATTTTCCGTCTCTTTTAGCACTCTGAAACACAACAGTGATAGGTTTTAACAGTGTTTCTTGCTCCCTGTTTGCCTTAATTCTTCCCCTTTCTATCCACTTTTTTCTCTAGAACAGCAGCTTCAATCAGGTCAAACAGAACAGTACTTTTTAACAAACATCAAGGCTAGCTTTCCAGCTGGCAGTCAGAAAACCTGCTATAGTATTTCACATCAATTTAAAAGCAAATAATGAGATGAGTTCTAATTCAGAAACAAAGCGAGGCTTAGCACAGCCTAGGAAGTTAATAGAAATCAAGAAAACTGCTTTGGCAGCTCCACGCTTGGGAAAGAACTGGGTTACAAATAAAATCAACGATATTGCTGCATTGCTTAATCATGACTAGGCTTTTCCTGACAAGTTAAACTTTTACATCAATTACTGAGCAATGCCAGAAATGAAGTTTCCTAAACTCGTCCCAAAGATTTGTATCAATAACTTTTTCAAGATGGTACTCTTGGATGTTTTAAACTACAACTTTCTTTAAGCCAAACTGTCATGGCCAATTGGATGCGCTTGGAGTGAATAATAGGAGATATAATTCTCCTCATTAGCATAGACTGGCTTGTGGAAAGCTGAAGAAGAAAAACTAGACCTTGAGGCAGTAATGTCAAAATTTATTTCTTTTATTTGTCAGTATTTCTGAACTTTCCCAATCACCAAGGACTCTGAGTAATGAGCAAAATAGATTCAAATTAAAACAACAAACATTAGGAAAACATGAAGATATCTTGGAATCCCCCATTCAGCTTAAGCTAAAGAAGACCTACCATTTGCAAAAAATGTAGGGGCTACATGAATTTATGGAGGGCGAGAATACAAAAGCTTGCAATACACAAAATGAGGGCTACTATTGAGATGGCCTCGTATCTTGTTCATATCTAATGCATCTTGTAGGGACTTTTACCAGACCTTCTTTACATGACTGTTCCACACGGACAAATCTTATTCTACAACGTGCCATTTAGGTTTTAAATGTATAACCTGCATTGTTAATTGAGCCTGGGAGCCTACTGATAACCAGTGTGTCAATGTCATTGAGGTGTTACTCTAGATTTATGGGATTCTCCCATCGGCATTCTTGTACTGTGGTTTATAACAGCTGCACTTCTGGGTCATTTCCAAAGGCAGCCCCTCATAGAGTGTATTAAGAGTATTCCAACTGAGTAGCAATCAAAGTGTGAGTTACCCTCACCAGGGCATCCTGATCTAAGTAGGATTGTTAAATGGTGTATAAATTGGGTGAAAGCTCCCCTAACCATTTCTTCCACCTGCTGCTTAATCAGAAAGCAGTAATCAAGTTGGCTTCCCAAGTCAGACCACCTCCTTCACAAACATGATTCCCACCAGAGCAATCATGAGCTCAATCTTGGTACTCTGCTCTAATGTTTATTGGCAAACAGCAACTCCATCTTGGAGGGGCATAACTTAAGCTTCCATTCAGGTCCTCACAGACTCCCGTCACCGAGTCAGAACTTCTACGACATCTCTGGCACAATCTCAGATGGTGATGTATGGCTGGATATTTTTAGCATACTAATGGCATCACAGCACCAACTTCCAGATGTCCTCTTCCAACAATTTTATGTAGACGTTGAATAGCACAGAGTAAAGGACTGAGCCTTGTGGGACATCACACTGGAGGACCCAAGGGTTTGAGCATTTCTCCCCTATCACCATTGACTATTCAGAGAGGAGGAGAATCATCAAAATGGTGTCCACAACTCTTATATATGGTCCAAACAAGATGTGTTTGATGGTGGTACTGAATGTTGTCAAAAGATCTAATCAATGGGATTAGGTGAGAGGCACTCCACTCATCAAAGTCACAGCAAAGATCATGTAGCAGAATGACCAATACAATTTCTGTCCTCTGTCTGTGCCTGAATCCTGACCGAAAAGAATTCAGATACTGTAATATATTTCTTTTAGAACCCTCTCTAGCTCGTTCCCCACATTTTCACGTTTCTATACCTCTCCTTCCCGTGGCATCTTTGGGAGAAGATGCAAAATGCTACAATATCTTATTATTCCTCCTTGGCCTGGGATTTAAGTTTTGGGAAGTTTAAAAGCATGCCATGAAGGCTCTCAAAAAATAGCTGCAGAGGAAGATAAGCATGCTAATTTAGAAAAAAATTCTAAAAGTTAGACAATTGTAGAGAAGACTCCAAGCCGTTTTCTTAAACGTGTTTTGTTTTGTTTTTTTACTTCAAGACTTAATTTACTGATTCATTTACTGAATCAGAGTAAAACAAGCTGGTCAAGACAGAACTAGGAGATAAGAGGGCAAGATAAGAAACAATGGATGGAAATTAGTCAAGGAGAGAAGCAACCTGGAATTAAGGAGAAACTTCCTAACAATGAGAACAATTAACCAGTGGAACAGCTTGCCTCCAGAAGTTGTAAATGCTTCATCACTGGAGGTTTTTAAGAAGAGACTGGACAGCCATCAATCTGAAATGGCATAGGCTCTCCTGCTTGAGCAGGGGTTGGACTAGAAGACCTCCAAGGTCTCTTTCAGCTCTATTCTGATTGATTAACCTGAGCTCCAAATATCACATTTCACCCTTCTCTCCATAAAACATACAAAGCACCTTTAAGAAAAAAAACAAACCCAAATGCTCAAAAGACATGCAAAATTATAAAACATTACCCTGTTTTTTTTTTTAAATCATGGCTTCCTGTCTCCAGATCATTTCTCCTACCTACCAGTATAATCCTACATACCAAATTATCTTTTTTTTTTTATAGGAGGCATTCATCAGTTTTCGCTTGGTGCTCCCATGAATGCAGAAACACTCAGAAATAAAATTTATACTGAAGACTGTTGCCCCATCTCAACTTTAAGTGATTCTTGTAAAGAGACAAAATGAGGAAAAAGCATACCAAGCAGATGGGAAGAGTGAAGTAGATGCCTGCTAGCAAAGAGTATCACATCGAAAACATGTTCCCTCTTGAAAGCAATGAGTTTCAAAAGTTCCACAAACAGTTCCCAATGGGCTCCAATTTGGTTGTTCCAGATTTTGGTCAAAACAAAATCTGGAGGTGTCTTAGCAGATGAGCAGGGTAAGGTTTCTTGACCTCATTTCTTATGTTCCTCCTACACCTGGCCTGTCTGCTGACCTGCTTGCTAATATTCTCAGTGCCTTCGTTTCCCTATTCACTTGTTAATACCAATGTCCTAAGTTTTTTCCTGATCCCCTGAGCTGCCTCTTCCTGGAACAAATACATGTGCTTTGGTCCAGTCATACGGTAGATAATTAAACTAGCAACTTTGTGCATAGAACAGTCTGTACATCTCCTAAGGATTGCAATGTAATTTGAAGACCCAGGCCTAGTGGATAAACAAGCCTAGGATATGCAACCAAAATGAATGGACAAGAGTGTATCCAATAAGAAGAAAATGTAATTTCTTACAGGAAATCGGAACCCATGGGCTAGGGAAGCAATATCTGATGTAAATATCAAATCAAATGTTGCTTCCCCAGCCCATGAGCCTAAGATTCAACCAGTAGTAGCTGATACTTCTTCACTTCTAAATAAGTGAAGAAATATCAGCTGTTACTGGCTGAATCTTAAACTAAGACAGGAAATTAGACCAAAGCTGAAACAGTGACCAAAACCAGTATTGTGATGTAAGATGGCACTCAGCTTCTAATTTATTATTAGTATGACATAGCTGTGAGCATGCAGACATTTAGAACTGTAGATATATGGTGGAAAGTATCGGTACCATGTGAATAGAAACTTTAAAAAACAGAGAGGTGATTAAGATTTCCAGGGGTTGAAGGTTGGTTACCTCTCTGATAAGCAGAAGCAGTATTACACAAAGTAGTACACGTTTCAGAATAAATTAAGGAAGAGATATTATGCAAAGGCTTTAATCTGTCAGATGTATGCAGGTTGCAGATTCTGAACTGTTCGATATAATTTTCTGTTCAGAATCAAATCTATTGTTATTCGCTCTGAAAAAAGAGGTGGACACATCTTTAATTAAGATCAATTCACCACCAGCAGTAGGTTCTAAGTTAAGAACCTCTTTTAATTTTAGGAGACTAAGCACAAGAGTTGAAGCCATTCAAATATTAAGAAAATAGTTTCTACATAATGCAGATCATTGAGAAACAAATACTAAGCAGTTCTCCAAGATCCCAGAGAGATTAATTCTAGTTCTGGTTTTTGCCAGCTTTTCACTTGAGACATTCAAGATGAATCTTATGTAATCTACAGTTGGATTCGAATCTTATTCCTTTTTTTTTTCATATACTCAAACATTTTCTGATTTATTTTTTATTTTTTATCTAAACCTCATCCTAATGTCTGGAATGCAGAGCATTCCAGCAACGTACCATCATCTCCCTAAAGGCACTTCACCAGATGAGAGCAGCTCTAAAGAGAACAACAGCAAAGACGCTCCTTTACAATTAATTTTGTCTGAAGGTAACAATTTCATTTCCTGCAGGGTATAGATGCGCATTGATGCAGAGCAATACAACTTACCATATCTACAGTAATTTGTCCAATGACAGTACTGCCATATTGTTGTCTGAAGCTTTTAAGTCTTGCTTGTTCTTTGGGTATCATATTCGCAAGAACATCTTTCAGATTCTGAAAATCAAATAACGTCTAATGTTATACGCAACAAATCAGCTATTGTCAATGGTAGAAAACCAATCTAGAAAAGTGATATATGAGAGAGAGAAAAAGTAGATATATGAAATAAAATATTTCTCATATTTGTTTAATAACTATTTTACAACAATCCTGGCTGCAATCTACACGAAGAAAAGTTTTGTCCTAATACCATGACATCTGGTTCACTCAGTAGATTCCACAACCCCTTTTTGTTATTTCTACACTTTTTTCCCCCCTCAGGTCACATTTTCAAATTTTTCACATTTACCATTTTGTTGTGTTAGCGAATTGTCTATGCTTTAATCTAGTGGTTTCATAACTTGCTGATGAAAATGACCTCAAAAATCTTGATTTAATTTTTTAAAGATTTAGTAATTTTGTACCATTTTTGCTCATCATCTTATTTTACCTGAGCACAAAAGAATGAAATGGATTGTAGACTATTTTCTCTTCACACAGTTATAAGTAATCTGAACCTTTTTTTTTCTTTTTCCATTAGTTTTCTTGCATACAAATTAAAAAGGCATGGACTATCAATGGTATCGTATGTTAAAACCATTGGTATAACACAGTGGTAAGCAACTTCGGCTCTTTTATGACTCGTGGACTTCAACTCCCAGAATTCCTGAGTCAGCCATGCTGAGGGGAAAGGGAGAGGTTTCCAAGCTGAGCCATGCTGGCTCAGGAATTCTGGGAGTTGAAGTCCACGAGTCATAAAAGAGCCAAGGTTGCCTACCCCTGGCATTTCAATGGAAATACAAAACTTTAAACAAAACTACATTTTTGCCTAGCTATGGGAATGCTTCTGAAATCTTCCTAACTTAAAAATCAACATGAAAAACTATCACTTCTTCCTTCTCTAGTAACTATAACACTGTATTTATGGTTCTACTATGAATTCTCATCATAAGCATAAATGGTCAAACAACTGCAAACTACTCCTCTATCTCCTAAAATGTATTGTCAATGGGAAGGAGCTACTGAATTTGAAAAGAATATATACTGACACCAAGCACACCAATAATGCAGTCACCAACCTAGACTGGTCTTCAGTATAATCAAGACTCAAATTGTCAACCAACAATTTGTACATCCTACAAGAAATGAAAAACAAAACAAAACAACTTACTGTAGAAGCACTTGCATGTCTCGCAGCAAAAATGATACATGATGAATTCTGTAAAGAGAAAGAAACATTAGTTCTACACTAATAATCCTCCATGCCCTATAATGCACTTTTAGCACACTTTGTCCCACTTAACTCCATCACAGTCCCCTCCTTGACAAATATTGGAAAATACTGGATTTCTGAACCATCATAATCAAGGAACTCTCAGCAGCATACAACAATAATATTGAACTATATAAGCATCACGATATAATACAATCACAAACAATTAAAACCAGTAACTGTTTATTTTCTACGTGAAGAAATGTATAGCACTGACTTTAAGAATGTAATATGGGCCAGCGGCAACCACACTCAAGCACTCAAATTCAGTTCAGTTTGGAACCTCTTGAGTATCTTTCATGGCTGAGCAATGATTTAAATTCTTATCACTCAAGTCTTCTTTTTTTATTATACCCTATTAGCATTCCCATTAGTTATTCCCAAATATGCATCTGGTTTACTACTCGGTTCTGTTAAAATGTTTAGTCTGGAAATCCAAAGAGAAGGGAAGAATGAGATCAGCAGCTGGCTACCCCATTAAGCAGCAACAGCAGCATTAACATAATCCCCAGTGTCAGGTAAGCTGACAATTGTACTGTACTGTAACAATTTTCACACCATGGCTTAGCCCCAGTAAATACCTGACTTACTTCCAGAAAATCAATAAACTTAGGGCTGATCTAGGGGAGGCTCAACATTTATTAATAGTCTCCTGTCAATTTTGATCACTGCTACTTTCGCTGTCCAATCATCATAGGGAGGGTAACACTTGGATTGTTGTTGTTTTTCTCTCCTAACTTGTTGCTAGAAATAACATACAACGCTGCAATCTCTGCTTAGTAGTTGCAATCCAAACTCATTTCATATTCAGCTTAATGCCACATCTGGGGCATGAACAAGTTTCCTACAATCTTAATTACAAAACAGGCTAAAACTAAGAGGTATAAAGCTAGAAAAAAACTTAACTTTTAAATACTGACTAATATTCACTAATAGGTACTATCTTATCATTAGCCTATTTTCTCTACCATACTTTGCACCAACCTACACATATATTTCTCTATCATATGGTGTCTTTTATATGTTTTGGAATACTACTCCCACAAATCTCATTTAGTATAAATAGAGGAGAATATATGTACAGTAGCTCAGGTTGAACTGTAGAGTCCCTGATTCCGTCTGAGTTTGGTAGAGAGTGATTCCCACTTCCTTCTAACATTGAAGGTATTACCTTGTTAGCTAATGAAACATCTGCAAACAAACAATCAAACTTAGAGAGGCCCAAGGACTGTATCTCATCTAATACCGTCAATGGTCAAACTTCCTATGAATTGTAATCTAAATATCTTGAGAACAGAAATATTTGGGCAAATGTTTTTATAATATTTAGCTATCTGGAACTGTTAGGGGGCGGGTAGCAAATATGTTTGATGAAATAAACAGTGCTCTACAAATCAGAGTACCTGGTTCATACTGCATCCTGAGTCAAACCAAACAATCTACATAACGCTTTAACACAATGAACCACCTGTTTAAAAATACAGAATAAAACCATATATGGAGTTACTGAACACCATTTGCCTGCAGGAAAATATAGTTTGGTAGGACCATCTGTAAGAAACTAAGCTTAGGCCATCACGTTGGAGACTTGTTAAAACTCATTGCTTCTTAAATAGATCTGATTTTATCTAATCCTAGCATAGAAATAAGCCACAGTGACAGTGGAAGTCTTTTCCAAGAGGGCTCTTCTGCTGATTTAATTAAAGACTTTGAACATATGAAGCTGCTGCCAACCACAAACAACCCAAGACATTTTCTAGTCTGCCTTGCCTGTCAGCATCTCTCAAGGTTTCAAGACTGCAGCATCTGACAGCCAGGGATTGGATTTTCTGCATGAAAAATATGCACTCTAGAGCTCAGCTGTGACCCTTAATAACGAGAGGATTCTGCATATAATCCTTCAGATTGATACTCTCGTCTAGATCTGAGGCACCAGATACAATGAACTAAAACCTCTGCAAAACCTTTGACAAAATCAGTTACTCTCCCCCCATTAAGTAGGAATAGCAAGTGCTTTCTAGAACTCAGCCAAATTATAAAATGCTTGTTCCTTAATAAGGAATTTCACAAACACTGCTGACAATTCCTTGCCTACTTCCAGCTGACTTTCAGCTTCCCTGCAGAGACTTCTCAGCAGCCTTGAACTCATGTTTGTTCTTGTCTTTTTTTATCTGCTTACCTCTTCAACAGCCTTCCTTCTGATGCCTTCTGAAGAGCACATACATGCAGGATTTTGTTCTTGGGCAGCCCACGTAGAAAGTGAGCAATCTGGCTTGACACGTACACCTCTCTGATTGGCAAAAAATATCCCACTACAAATACTGCTAAAAGCTAGGCCCATTAAAAATATTGGGGCATCATCAAACTCTTTCTGAAAATGTTATTGCTGTTTCCACAAAATCATTCCGCTAAATAAAAAGCAGAGAAAGCTGGCTGTAACCAAAAATAGCGACTTTCAGTTTTAAGACTATTAAATAATCAATTATACTGCCAAAACTGGAAGTTCAACATTAAAAAGACAGCAGTGTGGCTTAGCTTTATCATGCATCAGAAAGTTGTTTCATTCCTAGAGCAGATCAGAGGGGGGAAAAAATCTTAGTCATTGCTCAAAGCAAATGGAGGAGGCTTAAGGACAAATGGTGTGCTTCCTAAAACTGTATCTAAGCAACTTTTATTTCTTCTTCACTCTGGACTGAAGAGAAATATCTTGGGACAACTCCCAAAGGAAAGTTGTAGAAAAACAATATTAATTGGGTGATACACAAAATATGGTCATTTCAAATTATTTTTATGAGCAAGTGATTGAATTTCCTTTTCAAACAAATATCCTACTGATGCACTGGATTATCTTCATGCAGACAGTCCTCGAGTTATGACCACAATTGGGACAGAATTTACCTAAGTATGGAAGTCATAAAGTGCAATTTCACCTAACCACAACACTTAGCAATGGCAATCCTACCACTCGGTGAGCTGCGCTGATTGCCAGTTTGCTTTCGGGTACAATTCAAGGTGCTGGTTATCACCTTTAAAGCTCTACGTGGCATCGGTCCACTTTACCTGAGGGACAGTCTCATCCCACTGGGACTGGCCCGCCCTACCCATGTGGCTCTAGGGCTGCTTCTTATGCTGTGGCTCTGGGGCTGCTTTTCAGGAAGCTGTAGATGCCCCGGAGGCCTCTGCCATTTCAGCCTGGCTCGGCAGTGTGGCACAAAGGGGCTTCTTGGTGTGCCGTATCTCTGGGGCTGCAAGAAGCCCCTGGGCCATAGTACAAAGCACTTCGTAATGCAAAGCCAGCCCCAGCCTCATCCAGCCCAAAGCTACAGGTGACCCTGGAAACCCCAGCCCAGTCCCAGCTGCAGTTACCCTTGCCATCCCACAGCCCGAGCCCCCCCCCAGCTGACATTCATCATCTTCTTGCTTATGCTCTATGTGAAGCCATCTTCCCCAGATCTCGCAAGGAAACCATCATGCGGAGCCTAGGAAAGTCTCAAGGGCCAGGTCGGGCATGCTTGGTATGTAGCAGAGCAAGAAGAGAACGCTCAGCTAGGGCAGCAGGGGTTCTATACCAGAAGAGGTCAAATGGGCATAAATGGGTGAAGAAAGGAAGGGTAGGAAGAACAGAAGTGTCCCTGTGGTCTTAAGTGCAGGCGGGTTGCCAAGCACCCAAATTTTGATCCTGGGGATGCTATAACAGCCGTAACGTCAGGGTCTCTTCATTCAGTGTTGCCATAATTTCTAATAGTCGCTGAAGGATCGTAACTTGAGGACTAGCTGTATTCCCAACTAGCACTGGCTGTTCAAAATACATTATTTGGAAGATCAGGAAGAGTACAGCTGCAATTATTCCATCATAGTATTTAACTGTTTAGTATGGAATATAAAAATAATTTATATCTGCTTCCAGGGCTATATTTTGTCATTATAACTCTACACTAGCATTTTGCAGAATTTGAGTTTATATACTCAGCGTTTCAAATTAACATTTACAAAATCCTAAAGGCTTTGGAATGTAGTCAGATCTAGGGAAATTTCTATTCGTTTTTATTATTTTGAGATGTGAGTTATTACTGCAGATATCTGGACAGGTGAGCTGGTAAAGATTTAACTTAGCAAGTTAGAGATGCTTTTTTGTTTTTTCAAGGCTCAACGAAGTTATTAAGAAGTAACATGGAGCTCACAATATGATGGACCTCACTGTCTCCTTGATGAATCAAAAGTCTTGTTTACCAAAAATCTAGATGTGCAATTATTCTCTGTAAATCTATATTTCTTTGGATTGAATGTAACCTACTTATGTTCGAGACAGCAGAAAGATATGAAGCAGTTAAAAAGCTATAATTTTGGCACATTAAAAACATATTTCTAACCACTTCAATATTAGTACTGCTCTTCTTTCTAACATCTTTTTTTTCCTTTCCACTTATTGGCTTGTTCATATTTTGTAATAGTAGAATGCAATTTCTGCAGCTGGTTGCAGCAGTTTAAAAAACAAATCAAAATTAAAAGAAATCTTCTGTCTGTACTTTCTGTTAAGGGGAAAACAATACATTCCTTGTTACCAAATTTATCAGAATAAAGCTCAAAACATATTGACAGTGTTGTATGATAAATTCCCCTAAGTTTTTTTAAGACTATCTTCTGGCTTCCAGCTCACAAATATGGTAAACAAACTAAATATGAATGCAGTACCACACAGTAACAGCTCTGGCAAAGTCAATGATTAATCATTATTCTCAAGTTTAATACAAGGCTAAATTTACAGTTTGTATACAGTAGCAACAACTGATACCATATACACCCATATTAAATGCCCTCCTAAACTCTGCTATGAATTCTCACACACTTATTAATAATGTCACTAGCAAAGTTGAAGTTCAACGGAAAACCCCGCAAGCTATCAAGTTTGCTTCACTTTAACTTGTTGAAGGAGCCACAATGGTTGC